CAGTGCTACCAGTCGATACCAATCGATTTATTCCACCATGTTTTATTTTTAGACAAACAAAAAGGATAATGAGTGTCTTTTGGACAGCGAACCGCTCTCAAGCATGGTGCTTTGATTCCGGCTGGATAAATAATAGCACTTTTAACAATTGCATACAAATGTTTATTTAGAAAACAAAACCAATAGCAGATAAACCAATTTTTTTGTTTTTAGATATACACACACATTAGAACTTGGAAATCTTGAACTTAGCAAGGAAAAAATGTGATTAAGATTATGTTTCCTCCACAAATAAGCCACAATCTCCAACCATTAAACGTGTTAGTCTATCGCTCATTTAAAATAGCTTTTGAACAGACGATTGATACTTTCCAAAAAAAATCATCCTGGAAGAAGCGTAACCCAGTTTGATGTTGCCAGGTTGGTATGCAAATCAGTGGGCTAATTATGTAACACGATATGAAGTTGTGATGCAATATAAAAAAATTTCAATTTAAAAATTGCGATCAAGTAAGGTCGAATGACGGCAGCATAAATCGTTTCTATCAATTAAATAGTCGAATGTTGTTAATCCGACCAATTTAAAAAGTGAGTGCAATGCCTACGGCATTGCACTCACTTTTTAAATTGAGAATGGGGTTCTAAATTGAGAATGGGGGAAATTGAAAATGGGGAATATTAGTATGGTCCTAGATAGCTTATACATTTAGTAGGATACCTTTTAATTTGATGGTATGATAGACTTGTTGACTGTTTTGAAACGATTTTTAGTCCTTCGAATAACAAACAAAGTGCCTACTTATTTACTTACTTGTCGTTTATGTATTAATTGATATTTAATAAAAAGTGTGATATTTCTAAATACAGGTATATTTTATACAAATAATCTACTTTTTTTTGTAATATATGCAGAATTTGTGTATAATATGCCGCCACACCGCCAAATTTCGGGCCGCCAATATGAGTTGTTGGTACAGTTTGCCGAAACCCATTGCGATGTCGCGATGGGTAATCTCGGCAAAGGTTTCCTTGGCCAACAAGAAGCCAATAAAGCGTGGGAAGCTTTAGCCGATAAGCTAAACTGTATTGGTGGAGGAGTAATGAAAACTGAAAATGGAACGTGTAAGTAGGGGAGGTAGGGGAAGGACGGGCAGTCGGGAGACATGGGCAACCCCCTTTTATTCTGATCCGGTCACTGATTTAATTTTTTTCTAATTTGGTAGTTTACTTTACCAACTGGCAACACTGTTCATCCATAGACTATCTGTCATTTCTGTCAGTTAATCACAGGTGCGTTTGAAGGTTATGCGCTCGTCAAGTAAATATTTTGTTGTGATTTTGGATCGTTATTAGGAACAAATTAATGAAAGATATGTCTCTTTTTTATTATATATCTATTGTATATTTACTAACTTATAAATGAAAGTGAAAAATACGTTAAAATACATGAATAAAAAAAATACTGGTAACTTATGCTAAAAATGTATACAGAGGGAGCAATGGTCATTCTGATGTGAGGGAGGTTTGGGCATGCCCAATGCTCCCTTCGACATGTTGAATATAGGAAGATTTCTTAAAATTCAAATTACCTGATGTAATTAAACTATTCAAATTATTTTTAATTACAGAAAAATGCCGTTCAAATACAAAAAGAAAGGTTTGCGACGGGAAATTCCTAAAAATTTAATATGACGAGCCATAGAGGTATCAAAAGGATCAAAAATAAAAACAGCTCAACACCTATCAAATACCTCGTTCAAGTTTGCAACGGTACCTTAAACAAGATTTTGTAAAGGATTCTTCGCACAGATTTATAACCTCACAAATTTTCACCGACGAAGAAGAACAAAAATTGTCAAATTATATGATAGTTTGTTCTAAACATAATTATGGATTAACAAAAATACAAGCACGTAAATTGGCCTATGACTATGCAGTAGCCATAAAGAAAACTAATATTCCTGATAATTGGATCAAGATACAAATCGCATCTAAGGACTGGATAAGGGGATTTTTAAATAGGCAATCTCACTTATCAATACGGACACCAGAAGCTAACGATAGAAGAAGAGACAACGATGTGTCACGTGCCAAGTGTGACAAGTTTTAACAAATCAAACGTGGATAATTTTTTTGAAAATTTAAAAACAGTCTTTCAGCGACATCAATTTGGTTCCGAAGCTATATATAACATAGATGAAACAGGACTGACAACTGTTCAGCGTACACAAAGAGTCATTGCTTCAAAAGGCTCGTTGGCCCAAAAGTTGGGCAAGCAACATCTGCAGAGAGAGGCTCACTTGTCACAGTGTGCTGTGGAATTAATGCCATTGGAAATACAATACCTCCGTATTTCATATTCCCTAGAGTAAATGTTAAACCCTACATGTTTCATGATGCCCCCATTGGGTCAGATGGCTCCCGTCTGGATGGATGACAGCTTCAAATTTCGTAAAATATATGCATTATTTTGCGAAACATGCCAAACCGACGCCTGAAAGTACAGTATTGTTACTCCTTGATAATCATGAGAGCCATATTTCTGTGGAAGTCTTAGACTTTTGTAAAGAAGTTGGCATTGTTTTGATGACTTTTCCACCACACTGTAGCCACAAGCTACAGCCACTAGACTTAACAGTGTATGGACCATTAAAAAATTACTACAATGAAGCTTTAACAGACCGGATGGTCAGCAATCTTGGAAAAACTGTAACTATATATGATATCCCCAAACTAGCAGCCATTGCAATACCTTTAGCTTTCAAACCACAAAACATACAAAAAGGATTTGAAAAACCTGGGATATGGCCTTTAAATTCAAATACATTCTCAGATACAGATTTTCTTTGTTCTTTTGTCACTGATCGCGATGCACCCGTAGCTGATGAAGCGTTATCGTCTACACATGGCCCCAATCCAGCCAACTACAGCTCAAGTCTTTCCAGAACAGCCTGAGAGAGAAAATCAAAGTGAAGCAGATCCTGTTAATTTGAATAACATTACTATCGCTGATTCTTCTTCGTCTTTTGCTACAGATCAAATAACAATTAAAGTCGCTGAAGTAGTCAGTCCCTGAAACAGTCAGACCTTACCCAAAGGCTTCACCAAGAAAACTAATAAAAAATGCAAGGAAGAAAGGAAAAACAAGGATTTTAACAGACACACCTGAAAAGAGACTGATAGAATTAGCAGAATAATAATAATAATAACAAACTAAGAACACGGCTAAAAGAGAAAGGCAGGAAAAAAATATTTTATAAAATGCAGGAAAGAAACTTCAACTTCTTCCTAAACTTCAACCAGAACTAACATTGAAGAGAGTAAAGAAAAGACAAATGAGCAGCAGTGATAGTGATGAAGAAAATGTTCTACTCGCTGATAGTTCTGAAGGATCATTTGTAGAAGAAACCTTAGAGGATGAGGAGTTAGATGAAGATGATATGATAATGATTGACAGAAATTTTCAAATTAACGATTTTGTGCTCGTTAAATTTGACACAAAAAAGAATGTTGTGTACTATGTCGGCCGAATCGAAGACATTAGTCAAACCATGGCTACAATAAAATTTATGAGGCTGAGTAAGATAAGGAACACCTTTTTTTTCCTGTAGTAGATGACATAGCTAGTGTCCTACTAAACAATATTAAAACTAAATTACCAGGACCAAAGACATGCAATAAATCCAAACGTGGTAGCTCGAAGTACACATTTGATAAACCTTTATGGGCAATACCTAATCTTAGATAAATTAAGATACTATTTATGATGTTTTTTTATTTGTTGTTAACTTTTATTTGTGGTTTCTATTATGAATACAAAGTGTTATATTGGCCATGCTCAAGCCTCCCCCAGGGTGTGCCCAAACCTCCCTGCCATAGGGAGCATTGAGCACTTTTGTCAATTTTTTTTTAAAAATTCGTTATGTTGAGACTGATTATAATTTTAAGAAAGTTCTTTCTAAGATATCTAGCCAAATGTGTGGTGCAATAAGAATTGGCAATAAATGTTGATTATCTATAAAATCCGTTTTTTATGCATTAAATTGTGAAAAAGTGCCCATCCCTCCCCTACCTCCCATATATTTCCCTTTTATGGCATGGCTAAGGAGTGTTTTACTATTATACATCAAAAACCTTTTTGTTTGACTCATTAACCTAAAACTGCTTGCATGTTGTTTGTTTTTAAACTAATAAGTACTGGCATCTCATAAAATGCCGCACGAAAGCGAAAGCAGCCGATATTCGGAGAAAAAGAATGGCCACAGGTGGCGAACCTAACACCATAAATACTCTCTCCGATTTGGAGGAGAGAATTGCAGCTGTTATCGGGAAAGTGGCCATAGAAGGCATCGCTGATGTTCAAATACCTGTTGATGTTAGTATTCTTATTTTAACAACTAACAATCATTGTATAATGCTAATTGCAAGGTACAAAAACAATAAGTTATTGTACCTAATCTATACTCATTATCATGCTACAGTAACTATACTACTATTACTATTTGCCAAGCAGCATGGTGTTGGCATGGCATTCACTACTTGTGTGTTTTCTTTACACTTATTGCAAATAAATATTTGTATAAAAAATAGTAATTACTTTGTTTTTCCATGTATTAGTACATATAACTTGGTTTTTTCTTGATTGTGAACATGTAGAAATTAGACCAAAGTACATTTGCTGTAAATTTATAGTTTCTCTTTTATTTTACTCTCAAATTAAGAGTGTTGTAATAATATATTGCAGCTGTCAGATGAACTACCTCCTACCACCAGTGCTGCAGGTGAAGAGGCCAACCTAAATTAATAATGTAGGTGCTTAATAATTGTTAGACAAATATACATATTTTATGCATGAATAGATATTTAAAAAATTCTTACATAATGTTTAACTTATTTACTAAACTAACTTAACTTACATAATGCTTGTACCTGTAACAAATGTAATTTTCGTTTTTCAGCCATAGCATATGAGGTAGAAGTGGAGTTGGAACGTAATTGTAAGTTTTTTCATGACATAGTATAATAAATACAGTATTAATAATTGTAACTTTTGATCACTATGTGTAGTATTTATAGACAAATCCAAAATAAACCACTCTAATATTAAAGCTACAATTCTAAAGTCCTCACCTTTTTTAGCTCACCATTTAGTTTTAAATAAATAAAAAGTATTTCAGGTGAAGTAATTGTTACCTAATTTAATTTTCATACTTTTCAGCTGAGGAACAGTCCAATCAGATACCGGACATATCATCTGTGGGATTCTTCCCTCCACAAGGTAAACCTCTACTATTTCCTACGAAGACTGATTGTTCATCTTTATTACATATCAATACATGTCATGTAAGTTACCATTACATATATATTTTTTAATGCACCTCGAGTTACAATCGAGGTGATAACCTACCTGATGCAAAGGATAAGTACCTTGGTTATCACATGAAACCTGTGGTACCTCACAAAGGACATAGGTCTTTTGCCTACATACTCTATTTCACCTTTTTAAATAATTATTTGGTTTTAATATGTTTGGATCCACATGTAATATATAATAAAATTAAAATCTGTCTCTAAGGGTTCATATAATACTTATTATTTCAGACATCACTGCAGAGCAACATCACCATGTCCCAAACCACGAGCCACCACAACATCGATCATCAACTGCTCAAGGTAAATGCCTTATGGTTACTACACTGTAATAACTTAATTAAATATATAGATGAGAGAGTTTAATATACAACACTTTGTATTATTTTGTACAAAGTGTGTATTGCACCAAAAAAACTGCATGAATTTTTAAAATGAAAAAATATATGTATTTCTGAATGTATTTTATTTTTCCAGATACAATGGGGTTGGCCACGAACAGCAACCGTGCGACTCCTTTACGGCGGCCCAGACAAAGATGAAGTATGTATTGCAATCTTCCAAAACATATTATTAAAAACTAACAAAATCCTAATTAATATATTTTACTAAACCAAAACTACTCCAAAATTATATTCAAAGTCATATACCATTTTGTAAAGACTCTTATCTCCCTAAAATTTATTTGCTAGGTTTAAAATGTTTTATTTTTTTTAAACACTTCTTTTTTATTCCCTTATCTTAGTCTTCGTCTCTAACACTTTTAATTTCCTTAGATCGCAGCAATGAAGTACCCGTTTAGGCATTAACTATAGAGGAGCGACGGATCGCAGCCGAGGAGCGTCGTCTCGCATTGGAGGAGAGCAATGCGGACACGCTTACAAGGTTGTGTAATACGCAGGACGCCATACTAGGAGTGTTACAACAACTTGTACAAACATTGCATGGAAATATTCAAACTGAATAGGAGACTATTCAGTTTGTATTGTATTGTATATATGTTTTTTATGTTATTTCTGTAAGTATTGAATATTATATAGTGGAATTGCCTCTAAACTACAGTGAGTCAACTACTTTAAAGATATTTATTCAAATTAAACTCAAAACACATATAAGCACTTTTTAATAGTCACAATATTTTTATTCTACTGCTTACTCTGAAAGCAGTCTGATAACTAGAAGAACGTGCAACAAACTGTTGCTGTTTTAATTAAATGGCCCGTCACTATGGACTACGCCTTTATGGACATTTAAGTAAGCATGACTGATTCATGTCACTACTACTTCACATCTAACATTATATATTAGAGTGTTATTAATTACGCCTTCCAGCCCACAATCTCTGTACCAACAAGGATCTTGCCGCATCCTGAACATCATGCATGTCATGCCGTACCTGGCTGTACTGAATTGCCTCTTGATCGCTATCAGTCATTTGTGGTATGGGGACATTGTGAGCATTTGCAATATTATGCAGTACTGCACAGGCATTCACTATCTTTCCTGCCTTTCGCGGATTGTAGTGGAGTACGCGATGTGATAGTAAGCACCGCCAACGAGCTTTCATAACGCCAAAACATCGTTCCACTACATTCCGGGTACTGCAGTGGATCTTCGTATATAAATCTTCTGGAGATCCCTCTGCAGCCCTTAATATAGGGGTCATTATATCTTTGGGCAAAACCAGAGTCACCTGCAAAAAAATATTATGTAGCATTTTATAGTAATTTTGTTCTTATATGTATAACGAAATGCTTTTATTTTAGACAGCATAACAAAAACATTTACCTAAAAGCCAGCAAGTTTCTCCATTTAAATTCAAATTCTCTGAATAAGCATCTATATGTAATATTGTTAAGTTAGCATCACATATCTGGAATAAATTCATGTAGCATAAATAGTCCATACTACATATTCAAAGTTCATTAATATTATCTTTCTTTTATTAGCATAGATAGATGTATAAATATAACAAGTAGTAATAAATTTTAATACAACAACTCAAAATTCTAACCAATCCAAATACAATGAAATCATAGGTATCTACGAAAATTATACAGGAAGATTTTATTACTGTATACATTGTTATTATTATTAATTTCTGTAAACATTATATAAATTTCTTTTAAACTTACAACAAGGACATTAAGGGAATGATACTGTCTGTTAAAATATGCCTCTTCATACTCTATGGGCCGTATAATAGCAATATGGGTCCCATCAATGTATCCAACTACTCCTAGCATGCCATTAATATTCATAAATTTGTAATAGATTAAAATTATTATATATATACATTAGTCATACAAAATACAGTATAACAACTTGTATATATTAATAATCAGAAAAAGAGGTCGGAGGAAGACATAAGGGCCGTGGCTGAACCCACATGGAGAAAGAAAGCGTTGGACAGAGGAGTGTTGTAGCATGTAACCTCAATAGTTTATATTTTGACGTCGATCGTCACTCTACTTCTTGTATTACAATTTTACTAATGTCTACCAATATGTGTTGTTTTCTTTAATAATATTTTTCTCCAATATGGTAGCAGAGCGTTAGATATAATAAATTTTAATTCAATATTTTTACGTTTCTGGTGATATTTTTGAAAAATATTTTGAAATTGTAGTTGGAGGAAAAATGGCAAATATGAATGCTGCTGTTGCTCCCGCTGTAGAAAAGCTAAATGGCCTTTCAAATTACACTGAATGGAAGTTCATTATGCATATTAGGACCATATGCATAATGAACTTCCATTCAGTGTAATCCTTGAGGACTTGTGGGAATGCATAGAGCGTACAGATGCTGGAAAACCTCAATGCAATGACAAGAAAAAACAACAGAAGGCGTTGGCGAGAATATGCTTGAGCTTGAATCCTGTGGCGTTTGTACATGTGCGGAACGTCGATACTGCGCATGAAGCTTGGACGAATTTGGAAAAAGCATACGAGGACAAAGGTCTCACCAGGAGGCTGGGTTTGTTGCGTACACTTTTTAGTCTGAAGCTAGAATATTTTGCAGGTATGGAGGAATATTTGACTAAAATATGTTGCATAGCTTAACAACTGACAAATTTATAAAGAACAATGCCATGCTGTCACTTCACACAACATATTACCTCTTAACTTACAATGACCCATAAAGATACGAAAGAGACTATTATCAAGATGAAACGAAGGTATCGTTGATCCAGCTTTCATCTTGATAATAAATACACCTTCCTTCCATTCTATAATCTTTAATTTTTCGAAGGTCACTGTCGCTATTACAAGTTACTACAATTACTTACATACATACTTCATTAAAATTTTCTGTTTTCTTTACTTTCTTTTAATTGTGTTGAAATATAATGTAGTCTATGATCGTACTGAAACATATATCATTGTCAAAGTAATTGTCAACTGAGTGCTGTACAAAATGTCATGTATATGTAACGAGTACTAACGAGTGCTGTGTGTTTCGTTCTCCATGATGTGTAAATGAAAGTCTACGGAAATAACTCTAATATTACTACCTTTGTCTTTATAAGTTAATAAGTTTAGTTGTTGCAATAAAGTGATTGTACAATAAACTGGCCTTTATTATAACAAATTGTACTTTCAATAATTAATTGATATTTTTCAATATCTTGAAGGTCATGCACCAAAGAAGGGATTGATCAGACAAACCCTTCAACCAACCCATGGCCATTCCAACCTCACGGTTATACTGGCCGAATCGCGGGAGGTGCGGTTTCGCGCATATCTCTTGACTCCCTACAAGTTATTTAATAGATTGACCAGACAGTGTTATCGTCCCGCCAGGCCTTCCTAGATTCCTTGACCACTGGCTTGAAACAGCATTCAGGAAAGTGCAAACGATTAATTATCGGCCATACGGGCGGGCAAGAAGGATTCGTAGAAGACAGCTTATAACATTCGAAGCCAAAAAAATTAAAAAGACCATTATAGGCGGGGAAGAAGGATTCGTAGAATACAGGTTATTAACTATCGAAGCCAAAAAAATTAAGAAGATTATTATCAAGAGATAAATGCCGATTCCTTTGAAAACAGGTTTAGGGGGGTCTTCCCAAAACTAAAACCAAATTCCGTAGTAGTGATGGAATGCCCCTTACCATTCCAGGAAACTAGAATCGCTGCCTACATTGTCTTGGATTAAACCTAGAATATAAGAGTGGCTAACGAGCAAAAATATTTCATTCGAAGCAACAGCGGTTAAAGCTACTCTTATAGACATTGTACGGCAGCAAAAACAAGAACATTGCGATAAATATGTTGTGGACGAGATGGCAGCACAGCATGGGATAATCGTTTTACGTCTGCCCCCATACCACTGTGAGCTCAATCATTGAGTTGGTATGGGCGCAGGCTAAAGGATATGTTGCAAGAAACAACAAAACACAGAAGAACAAATGACAGAAGTAAAAAAACTTTTGAAGAAGGACTTCAACATATCAAACCTAAAATATGGAGTAGCTGCATGTCTCATATAATTAAAGAAGAAGACAAAAAGTATGGTCTCGACCACATGGTCGACAATGTTTCAGACAGATTTATAATTAATGTCACTGAAAGCGATAGTGACGATTTTTTATCTGATGATAAATAAAAACAAATTATGTAATAAGCGATGTTTTTTATTTTCATTACCTACCTATAATTGTTATATTTTATACATCAATAATTTCAACTACATGATGTATTGAAAATGGCAATGTTTTCCTTAATGTTTAAAACACTCGCTATTCAGTATTGGTAGATACTATAGGAAAATAGTCGTCGAAATCTCGTTGGTATGTACATACAAAGCACGACTATAATATTCGAACCCCGTACCCGCTATCGGCAGGCAGGCACACTATCTATTCACTAGACAATCGAGGCAATTTCATTGATTCAGGAGTTTTTTCAATCATTCCCCTTTGTAATAACGAATAGAATGTATTGACTATCGTCGGACATATATATTGGATGACGTTACACTTTTTATATTTAATTAAAACAGCCTATTCATAATTAAACGACAGCTGTCTGTTCTTGTTTAAAGCAGGTTCAAAATAAGTATATACGGTTACAAGAATAAGTACTTTATTGCTATGAAATTAGCTGTTTTACATTACGCCATCAACATCATTCCATTATCACTAACAAAATTTGAACCAGTAATGCCTTTTGCTTTTTCACTTGATAAATATAAAATTAAATCGGCTATTTCTTCTGATTCTGTTACTCTAGGAAGAGGTAGTTCTTTAACAAATGCATCTATAGAAATTTGAACGCCCGCGTTTTCAACGAAATCAGTATCAACTGGTCCAGGACTCACGACGTTCACTCTAACTCCTGATTTTGCCAATTCCAGAGCTGCACCTCGAGAGAAATGGTTCAATGCTGCTTTTGACGTAGCATATATTTGCAAAATTGAAGTAGGTGTTAAAGATCCTCCTACACTAGACACATTAACAATGGATCCTTTCGTTTTTGTAAGGTACGGTGCAGCCAAAGCTGTCAAATGAACAACGGCCTTTAGGTTTACATTCATAATTTCATCATACGTATCCATTATTTTTCCGTCAGCTATTGAACCCACTCTACCAAGTCCTGCATTGTTGATTAATATATCTAGTTTACCATACTTTTTTATAGTGTGATCAATTATTATTTTAACATCTGCATCTTTTGAAACATCTGCTTTAATTACGAGAGGTGCTTTTCCGATCTTCCCGCAGGCTGAAGAGACATTCTGGAGTTTGGTCGCGTTTCTTCCTACCATAACGACATTAGCACCTTCCTTAGTAAATAGTTTAGCAGTCGCTGCTCCAATTCCGGAACTAGCGCCTGTCACAATAACCACTTTATTATCGAAACTCATTTTTGTCCGTTGTATCCAAACTTAATATTAATCATTTCCACTTGTAATTCAGTTCAATATATATGTTCTATATTTCGTATATCAAAATAATTTCTCCTGATAAGATTACATTTTAGTTTTTTGTTGCAGATATTCTTGTAGTGTTCTGTCAGCATTGAGATTTATCAAATCTCCGATAAGATACTTATGTATCTTATCATATAAGTGTTTGCTGGTTTTAGTTTTAGATTTTTCATTTACTTTTTAACGATAAAGATTCTAGATAGTACATTATATATATATATATATATATATATATATATATATATATATATATATATATATATATATAAGTTTTTTTATATTACTATACTATTTATTGGTGAACAATATCATATGGCATAGAATAATTATAATAAAATTAAACCGGCATAACAATGTATGTATATTTTAGTAAATATATTATATTTATTATATAAATCGGGCGTGGATTGGCTGTCTATGTGTTAAATATTATAGTATAAACTTTAATTTGTATTTCTCCCATTTCTTATTTCTGAAAATAAAGTATAAGTGAAAAGATGGTATTGATATTAAATAAGCCCAAGTTTGTTGCGGACACAGAAAGTGTGTATTCTGTGTCAGAAAATATTGTAGAAATTTAGGGCTAGAACCGTTCAATAAAAATAATTATCGCTCCATAACCTCCGCCTGACTAGGACCAGCTTATAATTGGTTAAAAAGTTATTTAACAGACAGGAACAGACAGACAACATGTTGTAAGCGAATAAACAAAAATTATTTCTTGTATTACCCGCGATATACAAGAAATGCAAACAGACTGGAGGTAGATAGATTTTATATATATAGAAAATAAATAGGTTTTATATGTGTAGGTATACAGACTTATAATAGACTTCCAGAAGCCTTTTATGAACGAAAACATTGTGACTATTTTAAATTACTGTATTCAAATTGCTTCTGGATAAATGTTTCTGTTCAAGACAATTTTAACATAAAATAATTATAAATAGTTTTCTTTGTAATGGCTGTTGAATGAACATAGAGGTTCATATACATAATTTAGTTGGAGTTGTAGTGATTTAAAAAACCGGCATAACAAAGCGTCTATTGAAAACTTTGTGAATGACCCAATCAATTTGGCGTCGTCTCCAGAGATGTTTACAGCGAGAAGAGATCCACTAGCAAGCATATTTCGAGAATATTAGGAGGTATAATTGAATATATTATGACGATAAAGCTGTGGAAGATGTGGGCATAGAAGACAGATACTATGTGTACGCAATAATTTTACTTGTTATTATGTTAATAAATATTAAGAGTTTTTTGTAGTTTTACTAGTTCCCAAATAGAATATGTATAAGAAATAAATATGTTCATAATATATATATTATATATATATATATATTGTTATAGCTGTTGCTAATACGGAAATTGCTGATTGGAGCCCGGCCTTGTACTTTGTGTCCGTACTTCGAAATGACAAATCAGCGCCCCATATCTTCGTTGACCCAACGCGCTGGGCAACTGCTAACTCGACATCTTAACTAGTGTTTCCGCGTCTCAGTATTTGTCTATTAAAATCAATTCGGTACCAACTTCGTCCGAAGATAGTCATAAGATAGTTATAGTCATATTTTATTTTTAATTAAATATATTAAAATAATTTTGGTTTTCTTTTAACTCCTCCTGCGACGCACGTAATTGGCGCAGCCGGTAGGATACTCGGGTTAGTGCGCGAAAAGACTTTTATCGCAATCGTTATACGTGTCGCTAATCGATTCCCAAACCGTAGCCGAGTATCCAGAACTACGAGTCCAGCCCCAGGAAGTATCCAGACATCGATGCTGCACAAAGAAAAACCGGAAATATATATGTGAGTTGCACAGAATTATCTCGTGTTGCTTTCCTTTTAGTTCCTAGATATTTTTCACAATTTTCCATCCCAGAACCTCGGGGACCCCGAAGGCTGTATCGCAACAGTCTCATCGGGCCAGTGTAGTCGATAAATTACGTAATATAAGTTTTTTAGAAATGGAATACGATCCAGAAAAGATTTTTTTTAAAGCCTTACGTGTAGTGCCTGATTTTGACGGCAACCCTAATGTACTTCCGCGTTTTATCAAGTTATGCGATCAGTTGGTGTCGTCTTACCTAGTCCAAGGGCCAGGCAGCGACCTAAATAATTTATCGTTGCTTAACGGCATATTAAATAAAATAATAGGTAATGCAGCTAGACTTATAAACTCAAATGGTATTCCTGAAAATTGGTTAGGTATCAGGAATGCACTTATTAATAATTTTTCTGACCAGCGCGACGAGACTGCGTTATATAATGATATTGCATTACAGTCCCAAGGCCAGAATACGCCTCAGGAATTTTATGATAGATGTCAAACCCTTTTTAGCACCGTGATGACCTATATAACTTTACACGAGTCCATAGAAACTACTATCATGGCTAAACGTGACTTATATAAAAAATTAACTCTACAAGCTTTTCTCCATGGTCTTTAAGGAGCCACTAGGATCTCGTATAAGGTGTATGAGACCAGATACGACAGAAAAAGCCTTACAGTATGTTCAAGAGGAATTAAATATTATATATACCCAGCAACGTAATGACACTTCACAGAAACCGCATACAAGTACTAACCCTAGCTCTAAGACTATGTTTATTAATTATAATACATCGCCAAGTTTTATGCCTATGTTACAAAGACCCGCGCAGTTCAATTCATTTAAATAATAACCAACAACCTTCTCATGGCAATGCTAACTAATTTACCACCTCCGATTAAGATGCATAATCAATCACAGTTCAGAATGCCGTCGCGTACGCACCAAATGTTCCGTGCGCCACCGCCTAATTATAACCAGAATAGTAACATGTTTAGATTACCACCACGTAATCTGCCACAAGCCATGTCTACCCCGAAACCTATGAGCGGCGTGAGTAATTTCGCACCGAAAATATTGCCACCAACCGGTCATGATTGGCGTAAGTTCAGCAACCCTCCACCGTCAAACTATTTTAAATCGCGCGACGTTAATTTTAATGAGTGTGCAAATTTTTATGATAATAATTATTGTTTCCCAGAATATTATGAAAGTGATTATAGTTATTCAGTCCATACGATTATTTTAATGAATACCCTATTTATTCAGACTATTCACATCGGTTTGACATGCCTATTGAGATAAATGAGATAGACCAACAGGATGAGCCTGAGCCGTCTACCAGTAATTGTGACTGAAAATTTTCAGAAGGTTATGAAATAAAAGCCCATATAGAAATTAACTTGCAAACACAACGTCAATTGCCATATATAAGTATTAATGATCCACCATTAAAATTATTAATTGACACCGGAGCTAATCAATCTTTTATCAGTCCAGAGAAGCAGTCGAACAATTTTTCCCCCATATTATATTCAAATTATGACCCCTTTGAGTGACAAACGTACACGCCACCACGAGAAATAATTATTCTATTACTCTACCTAGTTTTACAGAATTTCAAGACAGTGATATAATTAAAATATTTGTGTACAGATTTCACAATCATTTTGATGGACTTATAGGTCTAGATTTACTTACTAAGTGGGAAGCAAAGATAGACTTAAAAAATTTTACCATACAACTAAGTACGCTATAAATCCAATCAGCTTTTTAATGCAAGGAATGTCAACCTGTATGAGGATATAATACCAGCAAATAGTTCTAAATTAATCAGAATACCTATAAATACTCAAGATGGTGAAGTCATAGTCCCGGAACAGACTTTATGTAATTGCTTAGTTCATGAGTGCTTAAGAACTGTTACTAACAACCGTGGTGTAGTTGATCGCAAATTTTACTATGTATCATATTGTCTTAGATCATCCAGTTAAACTAGTATTTTAATGT